ATGAAATAACACTTAATAGGCTTAGAAAACTCAAAATACCAAATATACCCCTACTTAAAGCTAAGAAAAGGAAAAACTACATTTAAAAGTTCATCAAATTTATGTTTTTTGCCACTGTCAGCCCCAAATACGGGGCTGCAACATCTGGCACGCCCCAAGCTCCAATTGGATGTACAAAACCCATGAAAACCACCCCCAAATCGAAGAAAATGTTTTACCAAATAGGAAAGCTTGACTGAACGCCTATTTCTTTGAAGAATCTTTACCTATTTTGTGAAAAACCTCTATTGAATCCTAGGCACAGTAGCTAGGCGAATTTCAGAGCCATCTCCCTCTATTTCCTCTATAAATAAAGGCCCAGCTCGAGCTTGAAAGGGGGACTAAAGGGAGGAAACCTGAGAGAGGTCCCTAGAGAAAGAAAGAAAGAGAAGGAAGGGAGAGTTTTCCAACTTTTGTTGTATACCTATTCTACCTGTAATCTCGAAAGCCCTGAAGCCAAGCTTAAGCTTCATCCCCTGTCGTTTAAACATAACACCAGAATCGTTCAGCCTAACTCCCACCTTGCTTAAGTTTTGTTTGAAGTCCTTTTAGCTACTGAAAAACTCCCGTCAAGGTACATACAAAAGGTAAGTTCTTTTTAGTTTTTTTTGGGTTGCTTGAGGTTTTGAAATGTTGGAGAACCATCATTTTCAATTTCTTCTTGACTGAAAATGGAGGCAGAGAGGCGAGGGCCTTAGGGAAATCAGTACCTAAGACCCGATAACATTACCTCAAAATCGGTCTTAGGAGAAGTTGAAAGCATGTTCCTCCAGATTTAAGAAATTCCTACAACCATTTCTGTTTTTCTCTAAAAGAAACTGAGCCTAAACAACTCCCGTATTGGGCTACTACAACACCTTGGAGAGAGGGGTACCTAATACCTTCCCTCTCCCAATCCTTGGGACCTGAAATCTCTCGGTTGTGTGCCTTTTCCATGCAAGACGAAGTCACTATCGAAGAGTTAAATCAAGATTTTTAAACCTAAAAATGAGGGCCCATTTCCTCTAAAAAATGGGGGGCGACTCCAACCCTTCGAGCCTATCATGAGCTTCCTAGAGCTCACACAGGGGCATAGTGAACCTTCCTTTTGATATAAGTTTCTCCCCAGAGAAGCCCATCAGGGGAGAGTTGACCGGTGTGAAATGACCTCTACCGATGTCGAGCTGATCATAGGCATCTTCGAACAAGATATCGGTTGAGCTTCCAATGTCTATTAGGATGCGCCGAACTTCATAGTTCACAATCTCTCCCCTCCGAAAGCCATTCCTCCCGAGATCACTGCTATGACTCCGACTAGGGAGCTCGACCTGGGGGCCTAGGCACGACTACACCTTAGGGGGGTTTTCCTTTTTTATGTTGATGAAGCCCACCAAGTAGTCGCACGCCTGATTAGGTCTTCAAGGTGGTGCTTGAGATCGAGACCGTTGTCGGTCTCATAGCCGTGATCCCGATGGAAATCACAATATTTGTCACGATTTCTCTTATTGGCTTGGGTTTTCATCTTTTTGAGCCACCAGACATACTCGTTGTCTCGAATCTGCATCAAGATTTCAGACCGCAGAGTGGTCAACGGTGTGAATTTCCTGAAGGTTTGAGGCGGTGTGTGTGGCTTCCTCTCTGGTCAGCGGTCCTATCGTTTGCTTTCTCAGTCCACCCTCTCTGTCTTTCGCTCTTCGGTATCCCTCCTCTTCCTGTCAGGCCATTCCTCTTTATCTCTTAATTATGCCTAAGATTCCTTCACATTGATGTATTTTTGGGTGTGGTTCATTAGCACAGCTAATGTATAAGGAGGATTCTTGGATATGGAGAAGTTGAACGGAGAAGGGCAGAGTCCGTGCTATATGGTTGTGATAGCTACCAATTGGTTCGGGTTTGAGACCTGTAGTGCTTCACTGTTGAACCTCGCTAGCTAGTCTCTAAGAGATTCTCCCTTCCTCTGTTGCACCTACATGAGGCTGGCCAAAGTCTTCCAGTGCTTTTGCCTTGCTATAAATTGTGCTAAAAACTGGCTCTCTAGCTGCTCCCATGATGCTATAGAGTGTGGGGAAGGGACGAGTACCACATCAAGGCTAGGCCTTTGAGGGTGGCTACAAGAGCTTTGCACATCAAGCCTTTAGATGAACCGTGTAGCATCATCTGGGCTTTGAATGCCTCAATGTGGTCTTCGGGATCAGCATTCTCATCGTAGTTGTCGAACTGTGGTGCTTGCCACCCCGCAGGGGGAGGCTCATCCACAATCTCTTGGATGAAGGGTAGCTCCTTGACGGGCTGGCCTGTGGGTGGTCTTGTGCTCCTTTGGGCTTGACTGCACTCCAACTTGATCAAGAAATGTCGGAGTTCTTGGATCTCTTCATCCCTGTCGTTTGGAGCTGCGATGGGTGTGACTCTTTCCTTCTTGGGTCACGCTGGGTGGTCCTTGACTGAACTGGATTCGGCAATGGAGACCACTTGGGGCGATGTCCGTTTTCCGAGTCTTTCCTTGGCTGAGATCCGAGCAGTCTGGTGAGTTCTTCTCTGGTTGTCGTGCTATCGGGACCGGGCAGTTAAGTTCGATTTCCTTGAAGCATCTTGTCCATCTTGCTTGGTCCACGCCCTATCTCTGTCTGATTGACGCGTTTCGGGGTCCTCATGGGGAGGATCAGCCTTCATATGCATCGGAACCAGGGGGACGGTTCAAGTGGGCAGCGATGCAACAAATCCCAAAGACTGCATCATCGCCAAGATTTTTTCGACCTTTTCTTGCATTGCTTGAAATTGGGCACGGTTGATAGTTGCTTGCTGATGGGGTTGCTGGGTTTCATGGCACGGAGGGCTGCGATGAGAACGGGATCCCTGAGATGGAGGTCGGCTTGTTGATCTTTCAGAGTTGCTTCTTGATATCTTGGTCGAATCTCGATTGCACTGTAAGAGAGATTTAAGGAAGGCTTTTTGTGCATTTCCCGTAGACGGCACCAATTTGATGCTGCTCTGTTCTAGGTGGTGCAAGAACTGAGGTCATAGTTAGATAATCCTTCCCAACTAGATGGAGCCGAGGTGGAAGGACGAAGCCACACAATGAGATCTATAACCAAGAAAAAGTTAGAGGCCAAGGAGTTATTCCCAGGTAGGTACTCCGACCCTCAAGTCAGCAGAAGGTAGTGGGTGGTCGGGCCAAGCAGTTAGAGAACGTGCTGGTTCGAGCAATAGTTGTTGTATGGAAGTTAAGAATTGGATCCTCTACTTTGAGTGGGAGGTACCCTTTTATAGCCGAAGATTCGTGTCTTGGTCGGATGAGGCTTCTGAGGTTGTCAGGATGAGGTTAGCCTTCGAAGTCGTTGGGATAAGACCTAATCCCTAGCGGAGTTGCCCCCATCCTATCTTCTGTCTTAGTCGTGCTTATCCGCATGATATGGGATCATCGTGGCCAGGAAGGTAGAGTGGGGCCGCGGAGGTGACACAGTGCTGACTTGGCCAAGGAGATAGGGCGACCACGTAGGCATCACGTGGCATCCGGTGCTAGCTCAACCATAACCCGAACACACCAAATTTGGCGTTACTCCAAACCATGCTTTCCCGATTTTCAAGGCGTGTCTTGGAGCATCGTTTTGTATGGAAAAATAGTTCCAAACAAACACTTATTTCTTGGAGCAAATAAACCTTCCCCACGTATAGGATCCTTCAAGAAGCGGTGACGATGGCTAGAATGGATTAGAACTCAAGGCCTATATTTTAGGTCTTAGGTGTAGGCCTACTTCAACCAAAATAGTCACCCCCAATGTGTGGTGATTACATCAAATTCTAGCAAGTTAATAGAAGCGATTAAGCGCTTCTTAATGGAAGTGGTATTAAGGCTGCATTTCGCATTAATTCTTTATTTTAAGGTGTAGGTACGTAGTGCTCACTCAAACCCTCAGAGAACATCAAACATCAAGATTAGCACCACAAAGTTGCATAAGAATGACCCACAATTAATCCCCATGCTACAATAAACCCGCAACACACTATCAACCCTGCGATGAACCTGCAACACACCATCAACCTTGTGATGAACTCACAATGTATATCGCAGAAAACCGCGATAAACCCGGTCCACTGGGCCTACTTGATACCTGAACCAAGGAAAACCTCGATCGAGCCCGTCCAAGGACCTCAAGCTTACTCGAGCGTGCAATGAACCCACGTCCGCCAAGGTTTACGAGAAATTGACGATATAAACCCACTCGTGAACTAGACTGATAGAAACCTGCATCGAGCCCGTGGCGAGGCACACATGGAACAATAGCCACATGGAATGCATATCATCAAAAGACACAACGAACCATCACGTGGAGATAGCTAAGCACCACCCATAAAATTGTGACGTCACCGATGCCACGCGAGATTAGTTATAATGTGCGAAAAAGGGAGTAGCACACATGGGCAATGAGAGATCTTGAGGATAAGGAAAGTCAATCCTCGAGAAAATTCTCATGAGACGTGTGGCAAAACCCTAGTAGTGTAACCAATAATTGACAGTAAATCAAATATTCGTTTTTCCGATACATTACAAATGCCTTTATCTCCTACCTTTTAGGATCTCGAGATCTCCTTCATAAATAGAGATCCTCCTCGTACTGAAATTTATCCGATCCTAAGTACTTGTCACCCAATACACCTGAGTACACCCCGGCTCTCCTATCCTCGCATCTTTAGAGACTCTCCATTTTTCCTTGCTCATGAGACATTTCTCTATCTTTCAAAGAGACCGCTCCCCAACCAAGCCTTACCCTGCCTACATAAAGATTTATCTCTTTTTTTTTTCCTTATTTTGCCATCCATTCATAGGGGCGTTTTTACTGCAAAAAAGAGATGAGTCCTTAAAACAAGTAATACAAAATGCAGCCTAAATAATTAAATATTATATTATAAAATCCATCTCCATTTTCATTCCTTGCATGCTATACTCTTCACTGCAATTAATTCATACCCAAATGGACGTGCAGAATATGCTATAGGTGGCAAAGTGTCTACACATGGAGACATTTACAGTTACGGAATACTACTGCTGGAGATGTTTACAGGGAAGAGACCAACTGATGAAATGTTCAAGGATGGCCTAAACCTTCATTGTTTTGCTAAGAAAATGGCTTGCCCAGAGAGAGTGATGGAGATCATGGATCCACACCTGCAGATGAAAGAAGATACAAGAGGTAGAACACTAGAATGGTTGGTCTCAGTTGTGAAAATTGGGGTTGCTTGTTCGATGGACTCACCAAGGGATCGATTGGAGATCAGAGATGTTGTCACCAAATTACACTCTATCAGGAAAGTTTACGAAGGGGTGGGTACTCATGAAGATATAACTATCCTAGCTCCACGCTAGGATAGTTACTTCTTACCTTGGCAACTACAATGGGCATTCAAGTCAGTTCGTGCCTATATTCTGCCGAATCAAATCTGTTTGTCTTAGTGATTAGAATTTTTGTGAAAGAACTATTATATATGGATACGTACCCAAATAATCTTCACATGTCGTTAGTTCGTTACAGATAATATGCCTGTTGATAATGTCTAGTAGTGAACTGGATTCGTCCAATAAACCAATTTGATGTGTGGTAGTATTAATTGTTTAGTTTCAAAGATAATGGTGTAACACCCCCTTAATTTAGTTCACTTTTGGTGAAGAAATGATGAATTACAAATACAAACTTATCTTAAAATTCCGAAAAGAACAACGAAAAGAGAAAATCATTACAACAAACAGAAAAAATTCATTCCTTGATGTTGAAACCTAGCTTCAGAAGAGATAAATGAAGAACAAATAAATAACACAGGATATAAATAAACATGATTTTATGCAATAAGGAGGGCAACAATGTCTGCATTGCCACTAGGGGTGGCAACTTTTCAACCCAACCCGCCCATTAATTGATGGGTTGGGTTCTATCCATTTAATTCTGGGTCATTACGGGTTGGGTAACCCAATAAAAGGTGACTTAATGGTTTGGGTGGATTGGGTCATGGGTACCCAACGGATAACCATTACCTTTGATGATATTTTGATTCTCTTCTCACACTCTATCTCTCTCTCTCTTTCTCTCTCCAATTTTATCAGTGGATCCCTCGCATTTTCCCAACTAGCATATCAACCATCATGCCATTGGAATCTTCTCCATTGCCCATTTTCAGGTCCTGATCGGTGACTTTGAGCCAATCCACACGAAGAACAGATGAATTTTATCATATCTTGCATGAGAGAAAGAGCCAATGGCAATGGGTGCACCGCCACCATTGATCAAGAATTCAGCTACAGTACCTCTGTTTTCAACCGGGAATTGGAGTAATAGGATCAATCAACTTGGGTAATTTCGACATTTGCATAACAATACAACAAAACAAGAGGAATTATTCCCAACTCTTAAATTTGGAAACAAGCTAGAGGGATTTGGACATTGAAGTGGAGGTGAAATTTCCTCTTCATTTTCTGGACTTTGTTTTGTAATTTATGTTATTTTTTTTGTTTTTTTTGTAATTTATGTTATTTTTCATGTATTTATTTGTTTTTTATAATTTATGTTATTTTTCTTCAATTTCTGGATTTTTCATAATTTATGTTACTTTTCTGTGTATTTCTTTGTTTTTTTTTGTAATTTATGTTATTTTTCTTCATTTTATGGGTTATTTTTGTGTAATTTTTATTATTTTATCTGAATGGATTGGGTTGGGTTCAGGTGGGTTTGGGTTGAACCTAACCCGCCCAATTGCCACATGCAATGCAGCACATTTACTAGTGGGAGTACATACAAAATAACACAAAATGCAAGGTTTTGCACTCTATATATTTATATTTTTACTCCTTCCAAATTGAACCTAAGTCTTTATTTACCAACAGAATAAAAGCAAAAATCATCAGTACAATTGTAAATATGTTTTCTTCATAAAAATGGGAGTTGGTTTAGTATTGTAATAATAATATTGTGCTCTTACCAAATGATTTTTAGTTGTGATATGTACAAATATGAATCCCAATATATACTACATTTCTCTTCTTTTACGTTGACCATGATTGGGCACAAAAGTTTGCATCTTCAAATACAAACGTGTCTTGGAATTCGGTTCAGTTCCAATCCAAGTTGGAACCTGGAACCTACCTTATAGGGATCAGTTCTAAGTTTTTGGAAACCTAACTTAGGTTATTTGGCTGTGACAGTCCCAAGGTCTACATGCCGAACTTTTTAATGGAACATGTTGATTTTCACTAATAACAATATATAGTTCAAAACTTATCTTTATAATTTATATTTTGAAAATATTACCCTTTGGGTTATTTATTATATATGTTAAAATATTAAATTGAAAATAAATGATCAAATAAATTAAGTGACTCAGTGGTCAAGCGAGACCATGGTGTTTGTAACCATGAGTGCTTTGGTTCAAATCTTTACATTGTCAAAGTATTTTGGGGTTTATCTTAAGGCCAGCTTGTCTCCAAGGCCAATTCTCATGGTTAGTTTGGGTAGGGTAAATCTCTAGGCCTTGTCTAAGTGAAATTTGAGTCCAAGAATTTAGAACCAAACCCTACCAATAACAAATTGGTCAGGATCAATTCAAGACCGATTCCAAATAAATTCCTACTAAAATCTACCATTTGCTCACCCTTAGTCAACAGTCCTTTAGCCATACAACATCCCTCCACTGGGTTTAAAATAATTCACGAAAAGATAACTTCTTCATGTAATAAATGCTAATGAGCTCTAGTTCTACCACTAATCCCACTAACCCCGCTAAGGCTGAAATTGGATCACACAAAACATCAAAACATGACTAACGCAAATATTGGATGCCTATAGAGGTTGATTTATATTTGATGCATAGAAACATTTTTTGAACCAAATAAATATAGTAAAACTGGCTACTAGTAGTGAACATTTCAGTGCTCAATACCATGGGATTCACATTAATAGATCCCAATTTAGTGCTGCAAATGGTGAAATTGAATCAGATTTGGATTGCAAAATCTGGTATAGACTATGATAAGTATATAAATATAGACTTTATTAATTATAAGCTTTATATAATTATATAGACTATGATAAGGAGAGGACTAGTATTTTGTTTTTATCATTGGGTTGCAATGGTTGGGTTTTAATCTTAAATCCCATGACCATTCTAACATCCCTCAATTGAGTTCAAATTGATCAATGTTACTAATGAACCCCAAATGCATCTTTTCTAACTCTACAACTTCTACCACTAATCCCACTTTTATTATGGATGAAACATCAATTTTACAAACTACTAAGAAAGAAAACAAAGATAAGGTTCCAGCCTGATCGATGGAGACTCCCACCGATAACAAACATCATCAAAAAGCCTTACCTTTCTGTTGACCAAAAGAAAAGGCCGACTTTGCATTCTGGGTACACCCACTTATGGGCTCGGTGGAAAGTATCATAAACCCCATAAAGACTTGACTTCTGCAACTATTGGGATAGGGTTGTAGGGAGTAGACTGAGATAGGGCCTAAGACCAAGTCAAAATTGTGCTAAATAGATCTATATTCATACGCAATCACATCAGCGTTGATGCACCACCCCATTAGAAGTTCAAAGTTAAACATATTTGGACAAGAGTAGGACTAGGATGGGTGATCACTACTGTACTGCACTGCAACTTTTTCTCTTGTAAATACAAATTTTATGCCGATCCATTGTGATAGGGTGTTCTTAATGGTAATTTAGGATTCTTTGGTTTTTGTATTTTGTCTAATAATAAGCTAGACTTTTATTGTAGCTGCAGGAGAGGGAGGCTAGATAGTATTATATACAGATCCTTTAGGCTGTGTTTGGTAGAAGTGCAATTTTATTTGCACTAGTACAAATGCATGAAAGTGCAAATGAAAAAATTGCAAATTTTTGTTTAATTTTGTTTTGGGTTTTATTTTATTCTGTTTCATGTCATAATTTGTTTCATTTGTACTGCAACCAAACAAAATAAATTAAATTTTGAAACAAAAATAAGTCAGAATTTATGCCCAAATCATTTGGACTATCATAATTTTGATTCAGTAAAAATGTATTTGCATTGCAACCAAACATGACCTTAAAAGAGGAGCTGCAGGCAATTTTAAGATCATTGATTTTTTCTACAGAACAAGATAGGGAGTATATTATTATTATTATTATTATTATTATTATTATTATTATTATTATTATTATTATTATTATTATTATTATTATTATTATAATTTCTTTTCAATGCCATAACCCCCCAACCCAGGTGGGACTCAATTCCAAGTCTCCGCTACGAACAGCCGAGACCATACCGATCAGCTGGTTGGCACAATGGCACCTAGGGATGATATTATTTTGAACTTATCTAAATCATTCTCTTTGGATGTGTTTGTCTATAAAAACAGAACAGCTAGGCTTACAACCCATACCTTAGCGCAAAGTACAAAATCTTTTGTCAGTGATAGAATTTGGTGCATGGTTTCACCACTGATCTGGGTTGAACATTTGATATAGGACTGTAAATTGATCAGATTCGGATTAATGGATGTAGCTAAATCAGCATTTTCATATAGTATGTATATGAAAATATATATATATATAGTATGTATATATATATATATAGTATGTATATATATATACATACTACCAGGGGCCCGTGCGCTGCACGGGATGGGGCACCCCTGCTTGTCCCTCTCCCCGGCCCATAAGTCAATACACTCTACTTCATCCATGCCTCAACCCCATTGGCAAGGTGGGTTAAGGGCAAGACATCCATTCTCATCGAGGATGGGGAATCCCCAAATTTCCCCCACCCTGAGGCAACCACCTAAAAAAATCTAATTTATGGGTATTTTACAAATAGGATTATGAAAATTTGTGAGTATTTTAGGAATTGGATTATAACAATTTGGGCATAAAAATCAATATTAAATCTATGGATATTTTACTAATTTACCATCGGGTGCAGGGAATTATATGCAAACCCCATATCTAATTTGGAGCAAAAATATTTTCCCTGTCCCAACACCATCTCTACCCCATTCCCCATTTAAGAACTGAGAAAACTTGCCCCGTTCAGGGTAGCGTAGGGTAGAGCCCCAGTTTTACAAGAAAAATTGTTATCCCTACAATCCTAATATTTTTTATAACTAATTAACTAATAGTATATTAAATAACAAAAAAAAAAAATTACAATATTTTATGATAATGTCCTAAAAATTATTAAAATTTCTATTAATTAGTAGTAATGTATAGTCAGTTAATTATTTACAATAACAATAAATTAAAGTAATTTTTTATTTTTTAAGCCTAAATTATTTACTATTAATCAAAGTAAATGTAATTATAGTAAATTAATGTAATTATGGTAAATTACATTATTTTTTAATTAGAAGTAAACAATTTGTTGTTAATTAATATAAAACCAAGGTATGATCGAACTCAACCAAGTGCCCTAGATCGGTGTGGATAGACTTAATAATTTTTCTAAATTATTTAAAAATTATTTATTGAAATAAATAATAATGGATTGTTATTTAAATAATTATGAAATAATTTCTGATAGATTAATTTTCTAATTTAATTTTCCTAATTATT